TCTCGGAGTCCTAGTGGACAATCATTTAAATATGAGCCAGCAGTGTGCTGCAGCTGCCAAAAAAGCAACACAGTGCTAGGCTGCATTAACAGAGGGATAGAATCAAGATCATGTGAAGTATTGATACCACTTTACAATGCCTTGGTAAGGCCACACTTGGAATACTGCATCCAGTTTTGGTCACCACGATGTAAAAAAGATGTTGAGACTCTAGAAAGAGTACAGAGAAGAGCAACAAAAATGATTAGGGGACTGGAAGCTAAAACATATAAGGAACGGTTGCTGGAATTGGGTATGTCTAGTTTAATGAAGAGAAGGACGAGGGGGGACATGATAGCAATGTACCAATATCTCAGGGGCTGCCACAAAGAAGAGAGAGTCAAGCTATTTTCCAAAGCGCCTGAAGGCAGGACAAGAAGCAACGGGTGGAAACTTACCTAAGAGAGAAGCAACCTAGAACCAAGGAGAAACTTCCTGACAGTTAGAACAATTAACTAGTGGAACAACCTGCCTCCAGAAGTGGTGAATGCTCCAACACTGGAAGTTTTTAAGAAGAAACTGGACAGCCATTTGTCTAAAATGGTATAGGGTTACCTGCCTGAGCAGGGGGTTGGACTTGATGACCTCCAAGGTCCCTTCCAACTTTTTTATTATTATCGAGCATCGCACAGTCAGCCAGATGTTCAGACTGGATTTGGCATTTTGTCTACCTATCGAGTCCTTACCCAGGATCTGGGATAGGCAGATGTGGATGTTTGATGGTATTACAGATATCGTCGCAGGATGGAAGCAGTTCCTAATAAGGCCGCCTTTTGCAATTGACTAATAGCGAATTTGTCAATGCCAATGGTGTTCAAGTGGTGCTCCAGTTGTTTTGGGATTGCACCCAAGGAGCCTATGACTATTGGTACTACCCTTGCTTGCTTTTGCCACAGTCTTTCTATTTCTATTTGTAGGTCTTTGTATTTTGTTATCTTCTCCAGTTCTTTCTCTTCTATTCTGCTATCTCCAGGCACTGCCACGTCCACTATCCAGACTTTTTTGTCTTTCTTATCGACAATTGTTAAGTCTGGGGTGTTATGTTGCAGGTGCTTGTCTGTTTGAATTCTGAAGTCTTATTATTATTATTATTATTATTATTATTATTATTATTATTATTATATAATTCTGCTATAGTTAATTGAAACTTCTTTGTTTCAACAATTGAGTTACTGTAAATAGTTACTTCTTGTGAATTATAACTTTTGCCAATAAATTTCAGTGTGAAAAAAATACAGTTACTATGCTAAAATATATGAATAAAAACATCTATTTTCAAGTGGATTTGGAAATACTTCTCCCTATTTATCCACATTTTAACTTCCCAATTTTCTCTGCCTTACCTAAGATCTATTTAGTGTTCTGCTCTTAATTTTAAAAAATAGTCTTTTCACTTCACATAAAAAGTGGGCATAATTCAACCTCCCTAGGCCTTGTTTGTTTATTACTTTCAAGGTAAAGCAAGCTATAGTAAATTGTAGTAATGGTCACTTGTGGCAATAAGGACTTTTTCTTTTGCAGAGTTTGATAGCAAAGTCAGTGAGATGCTTTAAATTTCTTTTTAGATAAACATTAATGTCTTTATCAAAATGCTGAAGTTAACAGGCTCTTCGGGATATTTGATCACCCCTAGGAAATTTTATCTGTTTTATGGTGCATACAGTATAAGAGTATTGTGTTAAACATTCTTAGATAGATTAAGCTCTTAGGATCCTCTACTATCTTGGAAAAAAATTCTTGATTTTTTATGGTAACAAATAAATTGACTCATGTAACTCTTTTGAAGGAAGATCTGAAGAGATTTTAAAAAGCTAATTGATTTGTAGGTCTTTAGATAGGTTGTTTTTAGTTACGTGGAAATGTGAAGAAATACTACACGTCAATGAAGTTTTGAGTAAAATCACCTCCTGCACTAAATAGCAGAGCTCTCCACTCATTGAAGTAACTGAAGTACAAAGTGACTTCCTCTTTGAGCCAGTTCTTGATTAACTACTAGATATAACGATATAATGAAGACAACACTTCTGAGCTATAAAGCTCCCAAGTGCCTACAAAAAAAGTTTGAGCCTCTTCTCCCACAAATCTGATATAATCCAGAATTTAGAAAAGAAGGGTAGGAGGGAGACAAGTAGATATACACAAAAAGCATAGACAGTAGTCATAATATTACCCATACTTTCTGGTGTATAAGATGACTTTCGCATGCGTTAAAATCGGCACCGAAGTCGGGGGTCGTTTTATACGCCAAGTTGTCTTATACGCTGGAAATTATGGTAGTTTCCATCGTATAAGATGACTTTCTAGGCATGCAACTCGGCGCTGAAGACGGGGGTCATCTTATATGCCAGGTCGCCTTATATGCTGGAATATACGGTACATATTTATGTCATTATTATAGAACTATAGAACTATATTTATGTCATTATTTATACAAGGCAAATGTAAGACAACTATCAGAAGCTGAAAAAGAAGTCAGAGTATTTGAAAACATGACAGACACCCCCCACCACCACCATCTTAATGAATTCATTAATAAATAAAAGCTCAGGTTTTGCTAATTCAGTTTCCACATTGAAGTACCTAAATCCCTTTTTTTCTGGACAATAAACTTTATCAATGAAACTCCATGTGAATCTTGTTTCACTGGGATAACTATAAATCTTGAGGACACTCAATTCTATTATGAGAGTGCTCAGGACCTACAAAATCTTTATTCTAGCACTTTTTTGAGAGGAAACTGCTGTTTGAAATGGATCAGAGTTTATTCAATACTTTATAGGAGAATGTCCTTGCTTTCCATCTTCCTAATAATTATACTATCAGTGAAAAGCTTGCCAAATATAATACCTAACAAACCTAACTCCTCTCTGGAACCAATTCCATCTTAAATTTGAATTTGAACTCTAACCTCATGAATTTTAGAAAGACCTTTATGATACTTGTTTTTGCAAAGCTTTTATTCAAAAGAACTTACTTCTCATTAATTGCTAATGATTTAAATTATGATTGTCTTAGTATTAGGAAGTACTTAATTATTAGATCATGTTTAAAATGCCATTGATATTTCTATTGTTTTATTGATATTGATTAGTGTATGTGTTTGTGTGTATCTGTGTTGAACTTAGATGTAAGGGCACATTAAAGTTACTATAAAAAGAAAAATGATTTTCAGCCCTACCAGCAGACCAGATGTCATGAGCAGAATTTGATTTCAGAATTTACATTGGATGGCTTTATATTCAAGACTTAACCATGTTTTTATAATTGTTGATGATGATGTATTATAATTCTAATTTATGGATTGTTGAATAAATCATTCTTTCCAGGTTCATCCATGATGTTAAGCTATAATACATGGCTTCCAAATTACAAAGATTCACAACTATGCTAAACTAAAACTACATAAACTATATTATGGCACATATAATACTTATAAGCCTAGTCAGTCTTCTCTACCAAATTGCTTTACATATTTGAGCAAACCATTTGCATAGGTTAAATATCCATAAGAGGGTGTAACCTAGTATATAAATTAGAAAACTTCTATTGGAAATAAAATTAGCAAGAAACTATACTTGTAAATGTAGCCTCAGAATTTACCATGGAAAACAGGTATTCACTGTTATATTGCACTATTTTTTTAAAAAAAATAGTCATAATATAGTTCATAGGTCCTCACCTTTCAGTAATAACCAACAAAGGTTAATATACCTTTTGAAAAGTCAAACTTGTAAAAAGCTAAGGGATACTGTCCATAATAAAAGACAAATCATTGCTGATAACACAGTGCTGAAACTGAAGGAATTCCCAACAGGCTGGAGCATGAACTTGTTGAACAAATGACATGACAATTTGAGTTACATACAAAGGAAATTATCTTGCACAAAAGATAATAGAATTGGGGGTCATTCAAAGACATTGAATAACCTTAAGTTCAAGCTAAAGAAAAAGTAAATATATAAACAGCATATAATTATATCTAGAATTCACAACCATGAAGAAAGTAGAGGTTATTAATGTAGATTTTTGGAAGCATTCTGTAAAATGATGCAATCCAGATTTATTAATGGCTATCAATCATCTACTACATCGAATATGCTGATACCATCTACAAAAAAAAGGTGCTGAAAACAACCAACTGGCTATATGACTTCAAGCATAGTCAAATGCTTGAATCAGTTTAATTACACCTATCAATATATATAGGAGAAGGATTGGCAGACACAGGGGGAGAGTAAAAAGAGGGATCAGCCTAGAATCACTACATAGCCAGAAACAAATTAAATCCAACTTCCTTTAACTGATGTTGACCCTTATCCAACTCTAACCAAGTGCTGACCATTAATTGAAAAGATTCCTGTGCATAGGCTTTTAGCAATAAATCAGCTAAATTTAACCTTCATGTGTGAACCTGGTCTTTCATGCATGACAAAATATTATACATCACAGAGATTGTATTCTGTATACAAAAATATTTATATTCTATATTCAAAACATTTTCTATTGAATATGAAGCCTGGCTTAATGTTTTACTTGCCCTATCATTCAAAAGAGCAATTTCTGAATATACAGGACCAAGCCAACTATTTTCAAGAATCAACTATATTCAAGTGCTGATTCTTGTCAGACTTTTGCAAAGCCTGTCAGCCATATTATTGCAAAACTAGACTTTTTTTTTTACTTTCTTACTCATTTTCCTATAAATTATATAATTTGTAAGTGTTTCATAGAGCAAATTGGTTGATATTTTGGGTTTTCAAATATTGGTAGGGTTTCCTTTGGTAGTTGAGTGTGTAAAAATTGTATGCATACACACAAAGAGACACTCTTTGAAATTGGATTCAGTATGAGTAGTAACTTTTGAACTTGATTATCCAAATGAAATAGCTGAAAAAATGATTTAATTTTTTCAATAGGTCAAAACAAAACATTGACTTGAGAAAGGTTACTTGTTTACTCACCTTCTCTGCCGATTGTGCCGTTCCAAAAAAGATTGGAATAAAAGCTAACCAAATGATACAGGTGGTATACATGGTAAATCCAATTGGTTTTGCTTCGTTGAAGGTCTCTGGAACGCCTCTTGTTTTAATAGCATATACAGTACATGTTACCATTAAGAGAATACTGTATCCAAGAGAACAAATGAGTGATAGATCCGAGATGTCACATTTAAGAATCCCACGGGCATTTTCAGGATCCACAGTCCTCTGCTCTCCATAATCTACTATGATATGTGGAGGATCAATAGCAAACCAGATGAAGACTCCTATAAGCTGTATGGATATGAGGCTGAAGGTAATCGCCAGTTGGGAACCTGGGCTGATGAACTTTGGAGCAGTGACTGATTTTTTCCCTTGCTCAAATATTCGATGGATCCGGTTTGTTTTGGTGAGCAAGGCTGCATAACTGAAGCACATTCCAAGTCCTAGAAAGATCCGTCGAAAAGAGCAGATGGCAGTGTCTGGACTTGCAATCATTAAAAAAGTGATAGCATAACAGAGAAAAATCCCAGTCAAGAGGACATAGCTTAGTTCACGCCCTGAGGCCCTGACAATTGGGGTGTCGTTGTGGCGGACAAATGTCACAATGACAAAGGTGGTTGCAATGATGCCAAGTATTGCTATGAAGACAGGCACAATTGCCCACGGGGAATGCCACTCCAGTTTGATGATGGGAATGAGTTGGCAGTCCGTGCGGTTGGTGTTTGGCTTCTTATCAAAGGGACACATTTCACAGGTGACCTCATCCACTTGGTAGTGATATCCTTCACAGCGCTCACAATGCCAACAGCAAGCGACTCCCTTAACCATCTTCTTCCTTTCCCCAGGTTTGCACGGCAAACTACAGACTGAAGCGGGGTGAGTTCGTTCTTTGATATCCCACTGCATATCTTCTACCTATGGTTATACATATCAAGAAGAAAAAAAATTAATGACCCTTTCATCTTCTCCTATTTATAATATCCCTAATCTTGGCCACAAGTTTCTCATGAATCACCTTGTTCTGACAATACAAATACATTTTATTTTGATAAGAACCCCCCTTTTTCTCTGATACTGATTTTATGAAAGTGTTAAATGATTGGGCATAATAAATCATTTGTGCCTTGAGCTTGATGAGTGTCATTAGTTTATATTTACCTCTTTACTGCTAACCAAATTGATCCCTGTGAAAAGATTTATCCACTCTTAAGCTTTAGTCTGAAGCAAAGGCATCCTATAAAAAGGAATTTATGAGCTAATCACATGCAAATATAGTTCTCAAACATTTAATTAGAAAATAATGGCATATGGGTTTGGAATTAATTTATATCATAATGTAAGGACAGAGTAAACATCTTGCACTAATCTAGAAGAGAACAAGAAGTTTTATTTCTGAGAAATAAAAATATGAAGCAAGGAAATATTTTATTTTGGATCCATCTCAGGTTGCTTTTTTGCTTGTTATCTTCTACCATCTACAGAATTATTTGTTTACCATATTTGCTTTTTTCCCCTCATCAAATTTCTCTGAGTGGCTTACAACAAAACAATGACACAGAATAAAAGCTTAAACACCAATCCACTACAGACAAATAAAGTAATATTCCTGATCATTCACCTCATTGATTCACTAATTACTACCAGTCCTATCATGCCTCTCTAAGCTCTCTAGGAAAACATTATCTTTACACTGCTCTGAACAGGAAGAAGGAAGCCAAGAATGCTTATTTCTGCTGTAGATTCCCACTCTTTAAAGATTTTGGGTGAGTAAAGGAATCCTCTGCATTCTCTCCCAGCCTGCATGAATCAGGCAGGCTGAGTCTTACCACTGCAGGTGATCCTTGAAGGCCATGTTATAAAAACTTCATGGCTGATAAAGAGAATTTTGAACTATATCTGGAAAAAGTATATAAGCCAGTGCATGGCTTTAGAAGGTTAGATAGCCTTTTGAATTCTGATGGGCTTTTGATTTTGTACACACTAATTTGTTGTAGGGTTCTCAGTGGTTCTGTAGATCAACTGATCTTTTCAAGAGGAGGCCCCTAGGAATCTAGCACTATAGTAGTAACAACAAACTTTGTATGAGTCAATCCATCCATTTTTAAACTACATCCTTCATAATGTCTGTCCTTTGACTGCACAGCTATAACTGGAATTCAAAGCATTTGGAAAGTCCCTGTTTGGTAATGCCCATGTTAGTGTTACGTGAGAGTGACAAGTACCACTTAGAAATGATCAGACATGAAGTTCATTGAGTGTTTCCTTTTAATTACAGAGTTGCTTAGAAATGTAGAAAACTATACACAGCATTCCATCTTTAAACTTTTTAGAAATATAGTGATATAAATAAATACTTAAATCATTTTAAAGAAATATAATAAATATACCAGCAGACAACTTTTCCTCAAAGATTAATTAATTTACATTAATTACGCTACTAATACAGTGCTAGATTACTTACAGTACTACATTTACATTGGCATCCACATTTTACATTGGCATCAAATGACAAGACAACTCTGTCTTTTTTTGTAGATAGATAAATCAATGTACATAAGCTGTGGAGCATGTGTTGCAGTGTCACTATTGTACACTTTTTTTGTTATTTTGATGAAACTCTCAGATTCTGAAGACTTCCCTGATTATTTTCTTCCTGTGGCACAATTATAGAATGTTACTTGCCGATGGCTTCATTTAAGCTTTTTAAACTACTGCTTCTATAATTTTTAGCAGAAATATGATTTCTTTCAAAAAGAAACAAATAAATTAGAGAAGAAAACATTTCCCATTCAAGGTGCTGCTGAGCTATATTTTCCATGTATTGTAGCAGTGAAAGCTATACTTTGGCAACATCAAAGGATTACACATCTTTTACCTATTTCAGGTTCATAGATAAATAAATCATATCACATGGGACCAACCCTCAAGTGCTTAAGAAACCTTCTTTGCCAGTAAAATGGAGAGGCATTTGAAACATCATTTTTCTTGGTGCTTATGAATGGTCAGCTTAGTCTGACTCAATAAATGTCTTCTAGAAGAGGCAGGGCAATGTTCTTCAAACATAAGGCATGCACGTTTAATTCAATGAGTTCAATTTTACCTGTGCTTTATTAAACTTGAAAACACTATCGGTAGAGATGGGTGAGTCATTCAACACAATTGAAAAAGAACACAACTATTATTTTTTAAGCCAATCCAGAATCAGACCAGCACTTAAAACCCAACATATTATTTTGCAGCTGTAAGAAATGATCCCTCATTGTGAGAGCTAGGAATCACAGTATCACAAATTAGCAACCAAACAGGGAAACTACTGTTAGTCCCAATGTTATTTTTTTTTTTTTTTAGAACAACATGGAAAACTTCACCTGCACAGGGCATCCTTCTGCTGAGTTGCCCCAGGCTGCTCTTTAGTTAAAAAGTCTTCTGAAAGAAGTTTAACAGTGACCCACTACAAAAGATCAATTTGCCTCAAGGCTGGGTTCACTAGTGAGTTTTTTTTTCTCTTTAGTGCTCTCAAAGGGCCAGTTGACCTAGTTAATTATCTTCCATCAAACAATTTTCATTGTTATGGGAAAAAATAGTCAAGGGATGGTATAAAATGAATGGATGAGAAACTTCAAAACAATAGGATGTCTATTAATCCATCATTTTAAAGATATGAAACAATGTTCACTGTCTCTATTAGTAATACAGTAATAGGTTTTTGATTAGACCCAAACTCTTCAGAATTTTAATTAAAAATCTCTCCATTGCAATCTAATGTAATACTTTATATGTATCAATAACATGGTCTAGAATCTTAATGGCTGACTAATTAATTGAGTAATTATTCTTTAGAAAACTTTAAGGATTTGACATAAGCAAAATAGCCATACAGCAAAAGTCCGAGTGAAAGTTTAAAGCAATGTATTCTAACTTGGCAACTTTAAGCTATGGTCCTCAGCCAGTCCAGTATATATAATATAAAGTAACATAACATAATTATAATTATTATAATCTATTATTATTATTTATTTATCATTTTTCTCAGTTTTGGGGAGCAGAAATTGTTCTATGTAAAATAATAAGCAACTGACAATGTGCATTGTTTTCCTACTTTCTTTCCCTAATACATATCGTACTAGAGACAACCAATCTTAATGTACCTTCCTTTATTGTCAGTTTCTACAAATATGCCCTGATTTGAAGCTTTTCTTTTAAGTTATTGTTTTTGTTAGCAGTTTTCTCCCAAGCTCTATTTTTTTTTATAAATCTATTCAGGAGGGAGGGAGGGAGGGAGGGAGGAAAGAGGGGTGGAAACAAGGGAGGGAGGAAGGAAAGAAGGAAAGAAAGAAAGAAAGAAAGAAAGAAAGAAAGAAAGAAAGAAAGAAAGAAAGAAACAAAGAAAGAAAGAAAGAAAGAAAGAAAGAAAGAAAGAAAGAAAGAAAGAAAGAAAGAAATCCTGTTACTGATAGAAAAATAAATCAAGGGCAAATTTCTTTTACATTACTAACATTATTCTTTTTTTAGTTGTAAAAGGGGGATGGGATCAATAGCTAAACAGGAGAAAGAGAACACCAGAAACCAGGAAATTATTTTGGTTGTTCCTTTGTACAATTGGGAATAATATTCATTTAATCTTCCACTAGGCAGTATTTCACAAAATTTCATCCAACTATTTTCACTGCACTTAAGGTAAAGAATGGCTCTCAGAATGTTTGCAATTGTTAAATACACTTTGAAATATCCCACAGGTTACAGAATCCATTGGCTGCAAAGGCAATAAATCCTCGTTTCAAGGTTGGTTGTAATGATTCATGTAATATTTTTCATTTCAGTGCCTCTGACAAATAAACAACATAACACATAATTCATATTATGACATGGTATAAATGTTGGAAAAATATCCTGGGTGAAGATGATTGTTTCTAATTTTTGCAAATAAAGGCTTCTGACAGCCTTAGGCTTATAGGTCTTGGAAAGATTAAAGAAGAAGCTGTGGAATGTGAAAATAAAAATTAGGAATTTGTAATGCCGGTGTCTGTATTTGGAGATATTGCATTACTATGTTAAATTTATACAAACTTATGAACTCAGAAGTGTTCTCTCCTGTCTTCATTGTGTTAGTTTTGTATGTAAGAATATTTTATTTTACATTTGAAAATGCAGTCAAATAGTATTTTGGTACAAGAGTGGAGTATTCCCATAACACTATCACATGCTGCTGGGGAACAATTTTTTGTTCTACTTCATTTGTTGGGTGGGTCCACATAAGGAAATCTAGAAGTAATGCTGATTAGTGAAGCTTTTGGTGATCATGCGGGGACACCCTTTATCTTTGTAGTCTTGAGAGATCTGGTGAGCAGAAGGAGAGAGTGCCTTCGCCTTATCAACTCATTGCTTATCTTTCCCTTATCAACATTACTGTTGATTGCAGTAAAAATCCATCCATCAAGTGATCACATGTTCACTCATGGCAACTCAGACCAATTGAGATGATGCAACAAAGGTATAAAATTTACTCTTATTTCTGGCCATGGATGCTGAGCTTGTCAGCTGAAAAGCTGGCAGCCCAGGTTTGAGACCTGAGCACAGCGTGATGGGGTGAGCTCCTGTCCACCTAGCATTTCAGAAGCATTCAAATGTGAGTAGATAAATAGGTACTACTTCGGTGGGAAGATAACAGTGTTCTGTGTGCCTTGGTATATACTCCTGCTGGCCACATGACCACAGAAGTGTCTGCTTGGTCTAAGAAATAGAGATAAGCACCACCTCCTAGAGTCAGACATGACTGGACAAGGGAAATATTTAGCTTTGCCTTTTTTTTAGTAAACCCCCCCCCCCTACAATATCCATGATCAACTGATTTTAATGTCACATCTATTTTTGCACTTAGTTGTGATGAATGCAGGTTTCAGTGAAGAGTTTTAGCT